CACACATCTCCATTCATAACCATGTCAATTATATATGATATACAGTTGTTTCCCAGCATTTTTTTTTTTGGATTTTCATCTTGCTTTCTTTCTTCTCCCAACAGAAATCATGCGATCAAATGGATTTTGTTTAGCCAACACTGAAACAATAGTCATTGACCACAGTATACCCAATGGAAAAGAGAAGCACCTGGATGTAGATGCAGCAGAACACCTGTAAGTGGGATTTGTACATGAGTAATGCTGTCAGCTTCAGATAAACTGTAGCTTTCCCACTCCCCCAGCGAACTGTTATCCTCTGTCTAGGAGCAAGACTGATACAGCTGTCATTCTGACTGGTTAGAGACTACTGGGCCTGATGGCTAATGCTTCACAGCTCTTTCTATTAAAATGGGTAAAATAGCTGTTGGTAGGAATGAGTGACCCCAAGGAGCTCGGTCTTCTGTGTATGAAAAAAAGCTGTGGTTGTCATAGGTGTCCTGCCAGGTGAGAATAGTTTTTTCTTTCTGTCATGACTGTGATGAGAGCTGGTTTGAGCCCAAATTTGGAAACTCAAACATCCTTACAAATGGAATATCCTACTATGAAGGGTATGCTTTATTTGGGAAGCAAAACACTGTCCTCAGAGGAGGGGAACATACCCTTGAATGTAATCGAAGGAAGCTCAGCAGCTGCTCAGATGCCGCAGCATGCCGGGACTTGGTGAAGCATGTGTATTTCATTAGGGGAGAGGGAAGTCAGACTAGTCTTATTTGAAAGTTCTGCCTCCTAATGCATGTAGGTATTCTGGGGTCAGAGACCTGTAACTGGGAGGGCTTTCATGTAGGTCTTAAGTCAGTGACTGTATTGACAGATGGGTATTGATGGAAATCTGCTCCTACAGATTTCTGTCATAGCGGGTGATTGGTATTTCAGTGAGCTTCAGGTAGTGAAACATTAAATATTTTTAATGAGAAACATTGACCTACTTTTTTGCTGGAGCAGTCAAAATGATGGAAACAGAATACCAAAAGCCTCATGGAGGCTTTATCTTTGAACGCAGTGCTCTGTCTTGACACATTTGAAATGTGGTTATTGCCACTCTATGGAAAGGTTTAGAGCTTGACAAGATTTTGTCAGGGGCTGGAGTGTATCTCTGGCTCCAGTGTAATTTTTTTGAAGTCTTTTTATTAACTTATCACTTAGTGTTTTGAACCTTGACCTTGCTAACAGCATTTAAGCTTATAAGCTTGTATTAATGAGGCTGAAGTGACACACTGGAGGTAATTCTGTAAGGCCAATGTCTGGAAATTAAAGTTGTTATAATTCATAGTGGATCACTCTTTAGTACTGAGAGTGACAAATAATAGGAACAAATTACCAAATAAAGCTTTTTCCTGCCTCGTTTTGATGACTTAAAAAAATTTGTTTTTTTTAAAAAAAAAATAAAATTCAGTTTTGATTTTAAAAATGTGCTGCAGCCCAAGGAAAACTTACTGGTTTCGGATCAGAAACTGCCATCATCTGTCATCCCATTGAAGTCAGAGACTATTAAGGCCAGAAAATACTAATATGATAAAAACTGTATGGTAGACATGGTTTCCCAGAAGCTGTGGTGGAAGAAATAAATCTAGGATAACAGCCTGGCTTTGTGCATTTGTATTTTAACTTCCCTGAAGGAAGTTAAATCAAGAGTCAAGAAGTTAATAAATTTCAAATGTCTGTTTTACATGGTGCCCTAAATTTGCCCATCCTGTAGCTGTATTTTGTGGCTGAGAGGTAATAGCTAGGAGATAACGGCACTTGTGTAGCACCACTCTTTTGTAAAAATTGAACTTTTTTTAAAAGCAGAAGTTTTCTATACTGTTGCTTTAAATGTAGTTTAGCAGCCCAGAAAGGAAGCTTTAAAATCTTTCAAAATCCTGTGCAGTTCCTTTTTGGTCTCTGTAAAATTGGATTTACAGGATTGGTGTTTTCTGTTCTGAAATCAGACTTAATTCCTTGTGGACTTGTATATCCTCAGATGGGAAATTTTCCTTTCAGCAACATTAAACTCTGTATGACTTCTGGATTTTGGCTGCTGATGTACTTGAATCAGACATTTCGCAAAGCAAACCTGTATTTTTTTTATTTTTTTTTTGGAGAGAAGCACTTGGAACTTTAGCAGGTAGCATTCATTCCCCAAGGTCCTGCTGCACTGGTTAGCTGTTGTAGCCTGCAGTGCAGCCTACCCAGTGATCCATCAGCTGAAAAGTCTCGTACTTGTTCCAAAAGAAACTATAGCGTTTTTGCAAGTTGGAATTGCCTACTCTGTTGTTCTGAAGTAGTTGCTTTCTGCTTCCTTCATTTTCTGTCTAATTTTAGTTGACAGTACACCGTACTGATGCAAAATGTGGTGAACCCAGTGTGTTCAGCATCCATGTGGCATAAATAATCCTTTTATGTGTGGTTCTTGGAGTACTCTGCAGTCCTTTTGAGAGGAAAGGTGGTAAATAAATGCATTCGAGCTTACGCTTTGGTTTTCTTACAGAGTGCCTTGTCCTGCCAGGACTGCTGCTGGTCTTTTAGGCAGTCCTTTTGAGAGGAAAGGTGGTAAATAAATGCATTCGAGCTTACGCTTTGGTTTTCTTACAGAGGTGCCTTGTCCTGCCAGGACTGTTTGCACTTCTGTCTTTTAGGCCAGCAGCAGAGGCTATGGCATTGGACATGCTGTCTTTTTGGCAAATTCATGCCAGTAGTAGACGTGCATTTTGAGGAGCATGCTACCATTGTCACGAGCATCTTGCGGTCCATGCGAGAGACCTTCACAGGTGACAATGCAAAAGCAGCACAGAGATGATGAAATTGGAGAAGATTTTTTCCAGAAAAACGGAATCCTACTCTTGATGGGAAAAGAAAATGCTTCCCCTGTGCTTTTTAGTCTCAGATGTGTGGGGATCTGTTCAGGTACTGCCTGTACATAGGGTGATGAGAGGAGCTGAGCAGTTGTCTCACACCATGTTTACGCTGGGGTTATTCCTGTGAGTTAACGAGAAGCATCATAGAATCATTTAGGTTGGAAAAGACCCTTAAGATCATAGAGTCCAACCTAACATCAAGTAAACCTAAGTGCCACATCTACATGTCTTTTAAATACCTCCAGGGATGGTCACTCTACCACTTCCCTGGGCAGCCTTTTCCAATGCTTGACAACCCTTTTGGTGAAGAAATTTTTGCTAATATCCAATGTAATCCTCCCCTGGCACAATTTGAGGCCATTTC